CTTTATTCGTTGTATCCTGGCAGGATCGCCATGTAATGTCCCTTTTTATGGAGGGCTTGGATGATGAAATGAAACCCAATCTTCCCTTTACTAATTTGTACTTTATTTCTATTACTAATTCTTATACCTAGTCGATGCCGACTGTCGCTTTTCAACGTCGACTCGATTACTTACATATTTGCTGAGGTGTATATTTTACCTGAGTTCAATACACCTCAGCTTTTGCCTACAATGCAATCTACCTTCACACCTTCCCGGTTTTATAAAATAAAATTAACGTTACAATGTTTATTTTATTTATTACTATTCTGAAGTATTATTGAGTAAAAATGAGGTGAGAAGGGTGTGATGGTGTGATAGTTTAAAGTTAAATTTAATATTGTTATGTTGGTTTATAAAATATGTGAATATAAATCATAAATTAAATTTTATTTTTACTATTTTATTGAAACCCAATTACCCAAACACCCTTTATTTTATAATTTTTTGAAATTGGATATAATAAAATAAATTATATTATTTTAATTTGGTTTTCCTCATTTCTTACAATCGCCTTAATTTTTCGTTGTATTACAATCTAATAAACCTAAAACATAGAAGGGAAAATTTGAAAATTAATTCAATCAAAAGATTGATTATTTTACCTGTTAGATCTTGTATAACCCCCTTGCTATTTTGTACTAACGTAGGCATTTTATCGTTCATTACTTTATCAACTAGTTCCGAGCCTAACTTTGTTTTCAAAATTTGGATGAGACCATCTAAAAACAATAACGATTCAAAATTTTATTGAATTTAATTAAAGAGGTAATTCGTTTTCGTACCAGCACTCTCTAGGCAACATGTTAATTTCTTAATAGCTTGTTGTAATAAGCCACACTTAACGCAGTCTTCTAATACTTTTGTAGATTCAACTACAAATAAATTATAAATTAAAGAATTGTTCATTACATTTATTTAATAACAATAATGTTGACTTACGAATATATATGATCAAATGCTCTTGTTGTTGTACAATGCCGACTGAAAATTAAAAACGATAAAAACACTTTTAATAAATTAAATTTTTATTTAAATATTTACTTGTAAGTTTTATAACCTTAATATCATTCTTTGATGCATTCTCACGTGATGTAATTAAACCTCTTTCTAAAAAAATGTAATGTTTGTTAAACAAACGTTTATTTATTAATTAAAAACATCTTAAAAAAGAAAACTCACCAGATTGACGAAGAAGTTGTAAATTTTCTTGGAGTTTATTAATACATGCATCTAGTACTTCTGAAAAAAATAAATTAAATTATCGGATTTTACTAAATTAATTAATGTTTTTTGGTCTACCTTGATCCTTTTTAGACAAATTTTTATTACAAGTATCAACGGAAGCCGCTAATGAAAAAAATATGTAATCATTAAAAATGAAATAACAAATCGTAAAAGTAATCAAACCTTGAATGCTGGAAACACCCAAAATAGTTAGTAACAAAGAAATGTTGAATTTCATTTTTTATTTTTCTGGAAAAAGATTGTATATATTCAAGTTTCGCCCAAAACTAAGTCTGTAACTAAATCGTTTGGCTTTTATACTTCCAAAAAGTCATTAAATAAGATAAAAAGATGATTAAAAAATAGTACAGCAAAATTTTTCTTTATCTAAGATATTTTACTTTAAAACAATTTTTGTTTAAATTCTTTTAAAATTGAATAGCTATTTCAAAAAACGATATGAAAATAATTTACATAAATTAACCATTAACCCCTTTGCCCTTCAATTTAAAACATACAAACAAAGAAAATATTTAAAATGATTGGATTCATATTTTTAATATGACGTTTTGTGACTTTCGTTCCAAAAGTTGTTTTGTCTCATGGTCCGTTTCCCGAGTGTTACAATTTTTACTATAAGAGTTTTTTGTAATATCCTCTGAATCCCGGGTGTAACCATTGATATCTTTTAAAAAGATGTTTCATTTAAAATTACAAAGTTGACCCATTTTCCAGAAAAGCTAAAAGCGATAAACAATTTTTTATGCAAAACTATTTGGGTTAACAAAAAATAAAAATCGATGATTTACCGGGGGGCGAGGTATTTAAATTAAAACGACCTCATGATCTTCATGATCCATCCTATGTACCTGATAGTAAGAAACCTCATTTAGTAACTCAAGCTGATCTTAAGGATCTGGTTCGTGACGAAGAACTGAAAAAGTACTTTTCACAAGAAGAAAATTTTGCTTATTGCAATGATATTATTTGGTTATGAACTTGATAGATATTAAATTTAAACCACAAGATTGACGTTTGTTAAAAGTTATACTGTTTCCGTATGAGTTTTCAAGGTTGATGGCCTCAGTTTTGAGTCCATTGGGATCGGATACTGCACAATGGTATTTAGACGATATTCTGATAGCGGCGGTAACTTGACCAGAAATGATGCAGAAGTTACGAAGAGTGTTTGAAGCATTAAAAAGTCGGCGAAATTAACGTTGAACATTAAAAAGTGTTATTTCGGTAAGGCAGAGGTGGAATTTTTGGGACACATTTTATCTGAAGGACGAATTAAACCTGGGAGCACGAGCTTTGAGTGACCTAACGAAGAAAGAAACAAAATATAAATGGAGGGTTGATCAGGAGGACGCTTTCAACGATTTGAAGGAAGCCCTCACCAAAGAACCTATATTACACCTTTTCAACCCAAGAGCAGAAAAAACGGAGCTGCACACAGATGCTAGTTCCTTGGGTTTAGCCGGTATTCTGCTACAGACACAGAGCGATGGGGATCGACATCCCGTTTATTATCTATCGAAGAAGACGAATGACGCCGAAAAGAACTATCATTCGTCAAAACTTGAACTATTGGCGATTGTGTACTGTCTAGAGAAGCTAAGATATCTTTTAATTGGCGTTCCTGTAACTGTCTATACAGATTGTCAGGCAGTGGTATACCTGAACGTAAAGAA